AAGATAAAGACATTGTACTGACTAGTTAATGGACTAGGTTACTGGATAGATATATTGGAAAATGACATATGGACTGATTGACAATGCTTAAGCTCTAAATGAATTAAACAACTATTTAAAACTACAAACAGTGTTTTTGTCTCCAGTGTGTGTATACTCTTGGGCCCAGCCTCTCTCTCATATGGCTGCCTGGCTTGACTGCTGCTGTGCACTCTGCTTGGGGGTTTGTCCCCAAACACTAACAGGGGGAAACAGTTAAAAACTTACAATAATGTGATTGCATAAGTATACATACCCTTAAACTAATACTTCTTTGGTTTTATGACAGTATTCAACCTTTTGGGGTAGGAATTTCTCTAAATGGCCCATCTTGCCTTTGGAATCTTTGCCCACTCTTCCCTGCAAAGGTTTCCAAATCTGTCATATTGTGAGGGCATCTCCTGTACAAAGCCATCTTCAGTTCACCCCACAGATTTTCAATTGTATTCAATTCCAGGCTCTGGCTGGGCCATTCCAAAACTTTGCTCTGGTGAAGCCATTCTTCAGTTGATTTGGAGGTATGCTTTGGGTTGTTGTAATGTTGAAAGGTGAAATTCTCTTCATCTTCAGTGTTATCAGAGGTCTGAAAGTTTTGGGCCAAAATTGACTGATATTTGGAACTATTCATAATTCCCTCATCTTGACTAAAACCCCTGAAGACAAGCAACCCCAAAGCATAATGCTGCCACTTTTGTGCTTCATTGTGAGTGTGGTGTAATGTACATTTGGTGATGTGCAGTGTTGTTTTTGAGCCAAACATATTTTTTGAAATTATAGCCAAAAAGTTCAACTTTGGTCTCATCAGACCATAACATCATTTCCCATATATTTTTGTCATACTTGACGTAGGTTTTTATGAAATGTAGCTGGGCTAGGATGTTTTTCTTTGCAAGAAAAAGCTTCTATCTTGCTACTCTACTTTACAGCCCAGACATATGAAGAATATGGGAGACCACTATTTTCCAGAAATTCCTGCAGCTCCTTTGTTGTTGCTGTAGGCTCTTGACAGGTTCTTGGATCAGTTTTCTTCTTGTTTTTTCATCTATTTTGGAAGGACACCTAGTTCTTGGTAATGTCATATTGCACTATATTTTCTCATCAATGACTGTTTTGTCTGTGTTCCATGCTATATGCAATGTCTTGCAAATGTTTTGTACCCTTCTCCTAATTAATATCATTCAACAATGAGAACCCATTGATGCTTCCTAAACTCTTTGCAGTCCATGATTTTTTCTATAAGATTTAATGTAAGAAAATTCCTGGACTTCTGGTTGTGGTGCCACACTGATATGGTGCAGAGGAATGGATCTCCATTCTGAATGACTGAAGTTTCACAATCGGTAGCCTGTAGGGGTGAAGACGGATCCTGGAGGGACCGGCAATAGAAAGGAGAAGATTTAGAGGCGTCGGGGAGAGCCATGACTCCCTGATGTTGTAAGAAGAAGTCCCGAAAACCAGTGCGAAAGAGATTGGTCTTCATGATCTGATCCAGAGATGTGGCTGCCTGACCAATTGATGAAGGAAGCAAAGAGTGGAAAGCAACACGAGTAATGGTGAAGAGTGAGATAAAAAGAAAGTAGCTGTATAGAGAAGACTTGGTGTAGTGAAGGAAGAGAGAAGCTTCGAACCGAGAGACAGAAGCAGGCAGTGGATTTGGTGGTAGGAGCTTTTATGATGGACTAAGTGATTGAATAGTGGCACTGAGAGATTGACAGATGATAGGCAGGGAAAGAGAAAGGAAAGGCAATTGTTTCCTGCGTTTGTGGACAGCAGAATCAACAGGAGAGAAAAGATTGCTGGAGAATAACTTTTGATTGTTGGCGATTACTGAGAGAGAGGGAGAGGGAGATCGACCACAGCAAGGACTGCGAACGAAGTGCAGCAGGAAAGAAGTCAAAACGACAAACCATAGTGACTGCAGTTTAAAAGAAGACATCTTGAAGAGACAGGGAATTGCTGAGGAAAGAAAGCTGGAAGCTCTGTAAATAATATAATGTATGTATGTATGTATGTATGTATGATCGGTATTCAGCTTTGTTCGGGTATTTTCCCACCATCATGAGCCTAATGATGGCAGATGAGATTCTGCCGAAACGTCACTACAACTTTAAAAGCACAACTATAATGAAAATACCTAAACAAAGCTGAATACCATACACACACACACACACAGACACACACACACAGACACACACACACACACACACACACACTACATAGGACATAGTAGATAACAAGGGGTAGCTCTAAACATGCCATTTCATGGTAGATTGGAAGAGTTTGTTAAGGACCCTGAAAATGACAACGACAACAATAACTATAAAAACTGAAAAGAAGGTGATAGCGAGTATATCCTCCACTTCGGGGCAAAGGTCACTATATACTACCGTGTTTCTCATATAATAAGGCTGGGTCTTTTTTTTTTTTTTTTTTTTTTGAGTCTTGAAAAAACGGCTAGGCCATCTTTTCGAGGGTGACTTAAATTTCCCCCCCCCCTTGTATCCTCGGGCGGGCGGCATCAGCATGGATGTCGGCCTCAGCATCGTTGGAGCACTTTGTATCGGGAGACCTTCCACCACTGTTGCTTTCCCTTTTGCCTGTGCTGCCGTGGCATTTGGAGCATCACCGCAGCATTTGGCACAGCCACACAGGGCCAGCCAGGGCGCCTCCCTGCAACCAGAACCACGCCGGAAACACTCAGCTACAGGTGCTCCTGTCACCACCTTCCCGGGCATTGTTCGAAGGCAAATCCCATTCTTTTAAAAACAATGCCCTACTACAACAAAGCTCAGCCGCCCAAGAGGGCAGCTCAACCCCACGCGGGGAGGTGAATCTCCCAGGGCCGCAGTGCCCACCCCGGGAGAAGCACCCAGCTGCCATCCCTGCCTGGTGCCGGCCAAAGTACGAAGAGCCTTGCCTGGGGTGCCCCACACAGCTGACAGGCAGGCCCTCCTGCCGATGGCGGAGCTCTGGCCAAGGCAGCGGGCACATCCCTGCCAGGCCCTCTGCTCAACCAGCCAGGGCCGTGCTGGAGCCGGGCAGTCTGTGCAGACAGGGAGGTGAGGCAACAGCCCGCACCACGTCCTCCTCCAAGCTGAGCCCCACCAAGTGAGTGCCTCTGCCCGACGCCCATGCCATCGCATTTGGAGCTGCTGCCGCATTTGGAGGTGTGCGGGGACGGGGACAGGTTGGGCGAGGGGCAGAAAAGATGGGCGACCGTGGGCTCCCTCCGCTGGACCCACCGGCCAGGGAAGCGGCACTGCAGTTGCCTTGCCTCCCTTTCTGTGGATGTGTGGGCACTATCACTGCCTTGGGTGGCCTTTCCCAGTGGCCCCTTTGGAGTCGGGCTGGATGGACTCGGGAAACCAAGCTCGGGTTGGCCCAGCTCTTTCACTTGGCAGGTGGGTGCACACCGGCGGCTCGCTTCCATGGATCTTCCCAGCCCGCCTGATTCCAGCACGGCCTTGGCGGGATGAGCAGAGGGTCCAGTGGGGAGGCACCCACTGCCTTGGCCAGAGCTCTGCTGCAGGGCAGGAGGGCTCGCCTGTCAGCTGCACAGGGCGCCCCAGGCGAGGCTCTTCATGCTCTGCCCGGCACCACGCAGGGAAGGCGGCTGGGTGCTTCTCCCGGGGTGAGCCAGTCCTGCACTGTGGCTCTGGGAGTTTCATGGGGTTGGGCTGCCCTCTCGGGCAGGGAAGGCTTTGTTGTAGTAGGCCGTTGTTTGTAAAAGAATGGGCTTTGCCTTCAAACGATGCTCAGGAAGGCGGCGACAGGAGCTCCTGTAGCTGAGTGTCTCCAGTGGGGCTCCGGTTGCAGGGAGGAGCCCTGGCCGGCCCCACGTGGCTGCACCAAATGCTGCATTGACACTCCAAATGCTGCCGCAGCATGGGC